CCGCTCCGCCCCCTGGGAAGGTATCTGACATGGTGGACAATGATGAGAAGAGTCTGTTTCTATCTAAGCGATTTGCTTCCTTTCTGTAAATCTTGAGAGAAGCCAGGCGCTGGTGGCTCACGCCTATAATCCTAGCTACTCAGGAGGCTGAGATCTGAGGATCACAGTTCAAAGCCAGCCCAGGCAGGAAAGTCCGTGAGACTCTTCTCTCCAATAAACCACTCAGAAAACAAGAAGTGGCCTTGTGGCTCAAGTGGTAAAGTGCTCCCCTTGAGCTGAAGAGCTGAGGGACAGCGCCCAGGCCCAGAATTCAAGCCCCACCACCAAAAAAAAAATTCTTGAGAGAATTGTTTTTCTGAAGTGGTCCTGCTTTGGCTCCATGGCTTGGCCCTTGTTAATTACATTTTAGTTACATACATCCTTTTCCTGAGCACTGTAATTAAGACATCCTATTAGGAGCTCCTTGGGGTTTAATTCAAGCCTGTTAATTGAGCCCCATCCTTTTGCAGAGTGTGAACCTGAGCACAACCAATGGGAGCAGAGGGGCGGAGCCCGCTGGGTTAGGGATTAAAAAAGGAAGCACCCTGCCTGCTCTGTGTGCTTGCTGACCAGATTTCTGGATCTTGATGCACCCTTCTGCAGGAGTTGCCTGGCTGAGTTCCTTTTGAGTTGGTGTCTTTATTCCTACCAAACACCCCAACATCCTGAGCTATGTCTTAACAGTGACATAGGCCTCTGCCCCTCTAAAATTCCTCTCCTCTGTGTCTGTATCTCAAAGGGTCTGAGAGTGACAGGGTGTAACCACCCACTGAGCCACCCACGCTCCTCCCCCTTGGCTCTGTGGAGACCTCCAGCTCCACCCACACCGGGGCCTGGATGACGACAGTGCCTTGGGCCAGGGTACCAGTGACGGATGAAATATCCACAAAGACTCCCTCGCCTCCTTTTGTTTTGCAATAGCAAGCGTCTCTGACGCACGCTTCATTCCAGAGCCATCTCCCGGCTTCCTATTTCCCTCTGCTCAAAAAAAAAAAAAAAAAATCAAATGCGCCTGCGTTTGCGCCCCTGCTCCGTCTGTGTCCCTGGCCGGAGCGGATGGAGTACGGCCGGAATGGGAGAACCTTAGAATCTTCGAAGAGGGACAATTATTGAGGGAGCCAGATTAATGAGGTGTCATAACAACTTAGCCAGATCCGCGGCTGACCTTTCTCATGGAGAACGGGGCTTGATAAATGTAGTTCATTACCAAGTTCTGACATGAAAATAGGCTCACACTCGGGCCTCCTCAGCAGGCTGATCAATATTTTATCTGCCAAAGCAGGCCCGGTCTGTGAGCAAGGGGAGGGCCCTGCGTGTGCTGGCAGGAAGCCCAAGGCCAGGGCCGGCTGGACAGGCCCTGGTGCACAGGGGGACTGAAGGCCAGCAGAAAGGTGGCCGGGTCCTACCAAGGGCTATCAGGCCAGCTAAGACTCACAGGCCCATCATGGGAATGGTCCTGCTCAGGAGAAGGGAGGGAAGAAATGCAGGCTGGCTTTCTGTGTACGTTGGTCTATGTACACCAGGTGAACAACCCCCCCTGTCCCAGGCCCCATGGGGAAGGGACCAAAGACAAATGAACCACAGAGAACTCAGGCCAGGCACAGTGGCCTAAACCTACAATCGCAGCTACTTGAGAGATGGAAGACCACTGTGCAAGACATAAAAGTATGCAAGACTCCCTCTCGACCAGCATCTGGGCATGGTGGCACATTCCTTTTCTTCCTCCTAATGACACAGGGATGCACAAGTAGGAAGATCACAGCCCAGGCTGTCGGGGATAGATAAAGTGAAGCCCTACCTCAAAAATAAGGCCAAAATAGGGCTGGAAGCATGGGTCAGTGGTGGAGTGCCTGCCTAGTAAGCGTGTGTGTGTGTGTGTGTGTGTGTGTGTGTGTGTGTGTGTGTGTGTGTGTGTGTGTGTGTGTGTGTGTGTGTGTGTGTGATGGTATCAGGGCCGTCCCAGCAAGAGGAAACTTGGGGCGCTACTGATGCAGAAATGCGCACACTGGCCAGCTTCCCCCGTGTCCCCATCCCTGTGCAGCACAGCGCGGCACTAGGGCTGCTCAGTGACACCAGGCAGGTGGCTTTATTCCCTTCAGGGAAACTCGAGTCCTAGGCTGAAGAGGGGCCTCAGGCAGGTGAAGCAGGGTGAAGCGCATCGAGGCCTGCCCCTCCCTGGGGTCCCCAGCCCTGACGGCCTTCTCACATCTGCGACACACACGGCCCAGTGGGGGCCCCGCACACTGCTGGCACCGGCTCTGCTGGCACAAGATGGAGGGGTCCGGCCCCGGGCAGCAGGGACGCCGGCCCTGGGCACTCAGGGCGCGCACCACCCACCCCTGCAGCAGTTGCCAGGGTGGAGAACCCAGAGGCCTGTGAGCTCCCAGTGAATTATAAAGGATGAGACAGAAGGGCAGGGCCCAAGAAGTGACCAGAGCGCCCCCCTCCTCCGCCCCAGCCCCCCTCCCCACAGCGGCACCCCTAGGGTCGGAGGCAAAGTCTCACTGGAGACCCCCCGTGTGGAGCTGGAGGCAGCTGGGAGGAGTTCCATCCTATGAGGCCAGGCTGGGGAGGAAGGCCGGGGACCCGTCTGGCCCCGCCTCGCCTGCCCACTTCCGTTCCAATGGGTTTCGGGCAAGATTTCCTCTCCTTACCCAGATCTGAGCTCCATCCACCTCATCCCACCCCCCAACAAAGAAACCAGCCCGCCGGGGGGCCCATCTCACAGCACAGAGTGACTTGGTAGTATCACGAGACCACCCCAAAAGGGGGTGCACTCCCAGAAATCCCTCTCCCCTCTCCCCAGGCAAGAGAGGGTAGGAGAGGGTCATTCTTGTCAGACCATGGAGACTCGCAGAGAGTCAAGTAAACATACGGGAGGACATGGTTCCGGGCGTCTGTGTCTGGCAGGAATCCCTGGACCCCGATTTGAAAGAAAACCTAGAAACACAAATATGCTCCAGAGAAAGCAGTCGAGCCACGCAGGTTTCTCAAGAGAGAGACAAACAGACACAGACACAGACAGACACACACAGCCTGGCCCCTTGTCTCTTTGTCTTCCAAGCCTAAGCTAAGGCTCATCAGTTACAGCTGCTGCAGACCACTGTGAGTGGACCGCAACAGCCCCGCGTGGAATGAACTGTTATTCCCAGGTCTCCGATAAGACCACTGACACCCCCTGTCCCACATCCAACGGTGTGGCAGCATCGCAGCTGGGCCCCAAACCCAAGCAGGGGCAGCCGGGTGCAAGTGGTTCACCCCTGTCATCCTAGCCACTTAGGGAACTGAGATCTGAGGATCGTGGTTCAAAGTCAGCCCAGGCAGGAAAGCCTGCGAGGCTTATCTCCAGCAAAAAGCCGAATGTAGAACTGTGGCTCAACTGGTAGAGCACCTGACTCCAGTGAAGAAAAAAAAGGCAAGGGACAGCAGCACCCAGACCCGGAGTTCAAGTCCCAGGACCAACACACACACACACACACGTGTGCACACACACACACACACACACACACCCCAAGCTGCTTGTTCCTCAGCACTGCTTCCTATCAATTCCAGGATAGACAGATGAAGAACCCACACCCACTCTGGGATTCAGCAAAGCCAATTACAGGGAGTCCTTTGTCTGCCCCTACCCGCTGCCTCCCCTCTCCCCCCCCCCCCCAGTTTACAGCCCGATAGCGATGATCTTAGTGGCACGTCATCAGCAAGATAAATAATGTCAGGTCACAGTGCATCACAGGCCTCATTTGCCAAAACGCTGTGCAATTCTGATGCTGGCGCTCATCAAGTCCGGGCTGCGATAAAAGGCCCAAGAGTAATGGGCTGTACGCCTCTGCTTTCATTTCCTAAAACTCCTTCTTTGTTTCTTGGTCATGGACTTGTGTACACAGGCTTGTTTGCAAGTAATCCAGCGCTGGGAGTGTACTTAATTGCTTTAAACAGGGCTTATTGGTCCTGTTAACTAAAACTCCCTAATCTATGAGGCCAAGTATTCCAAAGCTGCCTTGGAGGTAGGATTAAGACAAAAAAAAAAAAGAACTATTACAGATACAATTGGGGGCTTGTTTTCCTAAAGCTGCTGTGATTCCTCTAGAAGAATTTCTCCATTCCATGGGACACTCGCTCTATGTCTGGCTTGTATTAGGTGCTCAATAAATATCTACGGGCTGAGCAGGCAGGCTCCCTCCAGTATTCATATACTATGTAACATCCATTCACTATTCACTAACTCTGTAGAGGCTGGGTGTGGTGCTGTACAGCTATAATCCTAGCGACTCTGGAGCTCAAGGCAAGGAGGATGGACATTGAAGGCCAGCTTTGACAAAGTTAACTTGAGGCACTATCTGAGAAACAAACTAAAAGCAAAAACAGGTGTGCAGGGATAGAGGAGGGAGGGGATAATGGCAAGTATGCCCTGAGTTCAATCCAATGATGATGATCATGATGATGATCATGATGATGTAACCAAGTGTAGATGCAAATGCCTGTAATTCCAGCTGCTTGGGAAGTGGGGGGTCAAGAAAATCATGATGACAAGACCCCATCTCAACCAATAAAACAGCGGGTGTGGTAGTGCAGACCTGTCATCGCACCTATGTGGGAAGAGCAAACAGGAGGATTACAGTCCAGTCCAGGCTTCAACACAAGACCTTACTTGAAAACGAACATAAGGAAAAAAGGCTGGGGCAAGGTTCAAGTCGTAGAGGACCTGCTTAGTGAGCACCAAAGCCCTGAGTTCAAACCAGGGTGAGAGAGACAGAGACACAGAGACAAAAACAGAGAGAATGTGTGGGATGGAAGAGCAGGCCGACCCACAGCCTAGATGCAGCTATAATCTAATCTAATACTTCATCGTTGATGGTAGCTGCATCCTGTGCAGCCTCTGCCACTGCTTGTGAGCGAGATGGCCGAATGGACCCAGAGCTACACAGCGCCCCCTATAACAACCCCATCTCTCCTTCCAGGTGGCACCTGTACCATGGCCGGCTATGCCCGCCTCAAGAATGTCCTTCTGGCTCTCCAGAGCCGCCGGCAGCCTCTCGGCGAAAGGGACAGCAGGCGGGACCCTGGCACCCAGAAGCGCCTCCTGGTGGAGTCCCTGTTCAAGGATTTGGATGCTGACGGCAACAGCCACATCATCAGCTCGGAACTGGTGCAGGTGGGTGCCCCCAGCTTCTTCCCCCCACCTGCCCTGGGCAGAGGCAGACAGCTTGAGATCACTTGGCACCCAGGCCCACCCAGCTCCAGAGCTGCTGCTGCTGCTGCTGCTGCGTAAACAAGAACCTTTTTCGAGCCCATTGCTCTAAACCCGGCAGCCCGCAGGGGCCCCAGGCACCCGAAGCCATTAGCAAGCATAGTAATTGGACTACGATTTCCTCTTTAAACTTTAATATGTTTAACGTCCATTTCATAAATCTCCCCAGCAGAGCCCAGATCTCGGGCCTTTCCCTGACAAAGCCATCAGAGGTGTGTACATGTGGGGGGGGGGGGGGGGGGAAAAACAGCCTTCCAGTGAGCACTTAATCCATTTCCAATGCAGAAAGAGACAAAGGGAAATCTCCATCTTCCCAAGATCGATCTGGGACACTAGGCTCAAATCTGGCTTATATCGAACACTGACTTGCTGGGCAAAGGATCTCTCTCTCTCTCTTTTTAAACATTATCACATTAAATTGCCTTTAATATAGCAAGCCAAGCTAAGAATATTAAACAAATAGAAAAAGCCTCTAGCTCTCCATTTCTTCTCTTCTGAGCCTTCCTCCCGACCTTCCTCACCCACACCTCTCTGATTCCTGTCACCCTGCTATTTTCTGCACGTAAGAGCAGACCAGGTGGCCCCAAAAGATCCTTCTCAGCTAAGATTATCTAAGGTCCATCAGACCAGACAAGGAAAAGACAGACTACGCCCTAATCTCCCTACTCTCCCAACCCGCTGTGTGACCTTGGAGAAGTCACTCTCCCTCTCGGAGCCTCAGTGTCCTCATCTATAAAATGAGGTACAAACCTAATATTCTGTGTGCCTGAGTGAAAATGGAACGAGGTAACTGGAGGGGGTGGGGGAAGTGGGGAGAGATGGGGGGAACATGGGTCAAGATGCAGTGTACTTACACACTGGTGTCTCACGCCTATAATCCTAGCTGCTCCAGAAGCTGAGATCTGAGGATTGTGGTTCGAATCCAGCCTGGGCAGAAAAACCCATGAGGCTCTTATCTCCAATTAACAACCAAAAAACCGGGCAGGAAGGTGTGTCTCAAGGAGTAGAGTGTCAGCCTTGAGTGTAAAAGTTAAGGGAAAGCACTCTGGCCCCGTGTTCAAGCCCCAGTACAGACACACACACACACACACAGACACACACACACACAGACACACACACACACACACACACTGCACTATACTCATAAACTGACATGTTGGATTGCAACCCTTGTACACAACAACCTAAAGATAATTGGAGAACAAAAGAAGTAAAAGGAGGAAACGGATCAGACAAGAGAGAACCAAAATGCTGCCCTGAAATCCTTGCTTAGCCTTGAGCCATTTTTTTCCCCCTTCTGGAAGCATCGATGGCCTCACTCACAGCTCTGGCCTTGTCCCTCCTCACCCACAGCACCTGCTGACGGAGCAGGACCTGACCGGGGACCTGCTGGGGTGCTCGCCGGGGGACCTCCTCCGATTCGACGACTACAACCATGACGGCTCCCTGACGCTGCGCGAGTTCTACACAGCCTTCCGTAAGCCAGGCGAGCGGGGCCGAGGGGCTGACGTGCCCACGCCGCAGTGGGGGGGGGGGGGGGGGGGCTGGAGCGAGCCTCAGTGCTCTCTGCCAAGTGGGTTTTTCCTTAGAGATGAAAAGCCAGCTGAGTTGGATTCTGTGTCAGCCTCAGCATTCACAAAAGGGCAAAAGAGGCCAGGCCTCGGCTCACGCCTGTCATCCTAGCTACTCAGGAGGCTGAGATGTGAGGATCACAGTTCAAAGCCAGCCCGGGCAGGAAAGTCCGTGAGACCCTGATCTCCAATAAACCACTCAGAAAACTGGAAGTGGCACTGTGGCTCCAGTGGTAGAGCTCTCGCCTTGGGCTGAAGAGCTGAGGGACAGCGCCCAGGCCCAGAGTTCAAGCCCCACAACTGACACACAAAAAAAAAGGCAAAGGAGAATGGATGCCTTTGGGATAGTTTCTTTGCTAATGGAAGACCGTGACCAGCATGGACTTGTGTGGGAAAGTCTGTGACCGTACATGGAAGGGTCAAGTTTTAGGGCCATGCCCCTTGGGGAGCTCTGCTTGGACACTTGCAGTAGAGGCTGGAGTCTCGGCTAGGCAGAGGCCAGGAGCAGGCTCCATGGACAACAGAGGGAAACTGGGTCCAAGCCGAGGAGAGGTAGGTGATCCTCAGAGAGTTGTTGCTCTGGTGAGAATGGTTCCCATTAAATACCATTCCCACAGGGGATGTCTCCAGCACTGGCGATGACGTTGGCCCAGGGTGATTTGCCATCAGATGTTCTGAATGACGGGGCTTCTAAACGATGTGAGGTGCAGGAGCCAGTTCCCGAAGCATGCCACAGATGCCCGGATGTCTGTGTGTCCCCAGTGAAGGAGGGACAGGGCGGGGGACAAACCAGACTGGCCAAGAGGTTATCCAAGCTCCCCTGGCATTCCCTGGATACGGCCTACAAGCTCGCAGCTCAGCCCCTGGCCTTGGAGAGCTGGTGCAAATCCCCCAGAGATCCTGAATACCTGAGCCACAAAATTTTGTTCTAGATCCTTCCTCTTTAGTCCTGACCTGGAGTTTCATCTTAGCAGGGGGCTGTTTCTGCTTGATACTGTTTTGTACACTTTGAACATGGCTTTTTTTGAAGTGTTGTTCCAATATGCCACTTCCTACAGGAAGTGCCCATGAGTGTAACATGGCGAGGGGCGGGACTTGCGGTTCTCAGCATCCTTAGTACCAAGGGCCAAAGTCCAACACTGATGGCCTCTGGTCCTCAGCCTCCTCCCTGCTTACCAGCAAAACACATCGGCCAAAACTAGTTCATCCTCAGGTATGAATGACCCAGCAGGCTTGTCTTGCCGTGGGGAGTACTTGCTTTGTGGAACCAAGGAACTTGTTCCCAGAAATGAATCTCCAGGTTTTCAGATGTGCAGAAGTAAACCAGCAATGCCCTAGGCGCAGCTCAGGAGTTGTGATGGTTCACGTGTCAGGCAGGTGAGCAACCAAAACTTGAACAGTCAGTAGCTTCAAATTGGTCCTGCTGGGAATATATCTACACTGCAGAAATTAATGCCAGACCAATGACACCCAAAATTTGTGTGGGGTCCTCTCCAGAGAAAAACCAGGTGTTCCGGAATGACCTGCATATCCCTAGATAGACCCTTACTCCTGTCCTCAGCGCCCACCTCCTGCGTTATTTCCCCATCTACTGCCCCACACCGAGATCCTGGGTGATAATGACCGCAGATATAATAGATAAGAATAAGGCAGGGTGAGCTAGGCATCAACAACTCAGACCTGTAATCCTAGCTACACAGGGGGCTGAGATCTGAGGGTAGTGGTTCGAAGGTAGCCCAAGCTGAGAAGTCCATGAGACTCTTAACCTCCAATGAACCAGCAAAAGGCCCAACGTGGAGGTAAGGCTCAAGTGATAGAGCACCAGCCCTGAGCACAAAAACTAAACGAAAAAAAAAAAAGAGGGAGAGAGACAGGGTGACTGGGGTAGATTCAGTGAGAGAAGTCTTCTCGGTCAACACACTTCCAAAGCGAGTTCTAGCACCTGCCCAGAAGGCTGGCCGAGCTCCAGCTCCCCGGCCAACGCAGCAAGGAAGGAAATGATGAGTGGATATTAGCAGCCAGAGGCCCCAGGCCAGACTACAGGGATTTAAAAGAGTCACCAGGTACCACAAAGGCATCCTCATGAAGCCTGGGTACACCATCCTTGTTCCTGGTACTGGAATAACCCCTGTTTCATGGACTGGATTCCTGAGACTGGATCTAGACCAGCCAACCAGGCTTTCTACATACACAGGAGGTACCCTGGGAAAGGGGGCGGGGTCTCAGACAGGGTAACCCAGTGTCTCGCTCCCTTCATTCCTGGATTACTCTTTGAAAAGCTTTATAATCATCATTTTTAAAAGCAGATTCGATTCTGCTGTCGCCTTGAACATGTGTTGAACCAAGAAGCTAAACCATTCATCACAGCCCAACCCAAATAATAGATATGCAATAAAATGTAAACTCGCAGCCATTAAAGAAGCCACAGAACGCGTTAACCCGGCTATAAAAGGCCTGACACACGGCCAGCGGAACAGGCAGGGATCAATGGCTTCTCAAAGTCACAGGAACTCTAAACTGAATTGCCTTCGCCGTAGGCATAGATTTACGGTTCAGTGAGTTTTAAATGGATAATTGAAATGAGACATAGACTTACAAACTTATTACTCAGCAATCAATGAGCGCTAAAGAAATCCCACTCAATCCCAGAAAAATCATATCTCAGAACATCTCAGCAACAACAGTTTGGATTTGAGTTTAACAACTAGAGCTGACAGGCCGGCGGAGGCTGGCTGGAATTTTATTTGCTCGTGTCTTTGCGTGATGCTGGTGTGTAAGGCAGTAGCGATATCTGTGGGGTGGCTGAGACCATTGTTGTTGTTGTTGTTGTTGTTTGTTTATCTCTAATTATCAATCCTATATTTTTAGTATATATTAATTGTACAAACGGGGGTTTTATATACTATTTCCTACACGCATATAATGTCCTTTGATGAAATTCACCCCTTCCATGGCTCTTTCATATCCTCTCTCCCTTTTTCAGTTATTTTAACAAGTTTCATTTATGTATATATATATGAATACTACTTCGATCATATTTCCCTTCCCCCTTCCAATTGGATCTGACTCTCTAACACCTCCTGATTTTGCATTCATATCATAAATCTTTTTTTTTTTGGTCTAGAGCCCACTTATGAAAGATAACATGCAACATTTGTCTTGGTCAGACTTATTTCACTTACTATGATTTCTGGTTGCATCCATCCATTCTCCTGCAAACAGCAAAATTTCACTCTTCTTTATGGCTGAATAATACTTCATTGTCATTGTGTGTATATACCACAGTGTACTTACCCATTCATCAGTTGATTTATACCCAGGCTGATTCTATTATATTAGTTTGGCTATCGGGAATAATTTCTGTTCCTCACAGACTCCCCATTGAATAATGGTGGTTTGAGAGTGTTTTCCTATAGAACTGGCTTTCCTTTGTAAGTGTGTGTGTGTGTGTGTGTGTGTGTGTGTACTGGGACTTGAACTCAGGGCCTGGGCATTGCCCTGAGCTTTTCCTCTCAAGCCTAGCACAGTACCACTTGAGCCGCAACTCTACTTCTGCCTTTTTTTGCTGGTTCATTGGAGATAAGAGTCTCATGGATTTGTCTACCTGGGCTGGCTTTGAACTCGCTCCTCAGGCCTCAGCCTCTGGAGTAGCTAGGATTACAGGCGTGCACCTCCAGTGCCGGCCCACATTTGTGTATTTTTGAGTTTGGGGTAGGCCTGTCTGAGCCACTTTGTAGCCTGCAGCTAGATGAGAATGAGACCAGGGGTCTCTCTTCCTGACTTGCCAGGTGGCGTTCCAGGCACCTGTTCTGCGTTCATTGACAGAAATGAAAGATGAGGGTGGCCTCCTTCGCCTCTTCCATCTATCAAGGGAACATTTTCCTCAAGTTGCTTTTGGCTTGCCCCTATCAAAGGCAGGGCTAGGAAGTTAAAGAACTATGTCCTACATACATGCCTTGCCCTCTCTCCCTACGTCTCCTACAAGAAATACAGCTGCCTGCCCGGGCTGTGGTAGAAACCCAGGCTCCAGAGCCATTGGTAAGCAAGATGCATCCGGCCCTGCCTGTCCATCATGGCCAATTAATCTAAAAGTCACTGTCTACAGAGCTGCTCAGTTATGCATGGTTTTTCTTGGGGGGTGTTGCATTTTGCTCAGAATGTTCAGGTGGGGGTCATGGAGGGAAAACATGTTGCTTCAGTGAGGACTTTTTCTCCTCTCTCCCTCTCTCTTTGAATTCGTTATGAGTTTCCTCTGCTGTTTAGAGAGATGACTTGCCCTTTTAATTAATCCTGCGAGGGCAAGGCTGGAGAACGTGCGGCCAGGGCAGGAAGAGCTTGGGCTGGCAGCGCGGTGTTGGGTAGAGGGCTTCTGGTAGTAATCAACTAGGTCGCCCGGGACTGCAGGGCACTGAGCAGGTGGAGTGGGGACACTGGAGGACTCAGCCAACCAATCACCCGACTTCTGCAGCCAGGGGACCTCTTGAGTCAGATGGAAGAGTCCCCTGGTGAACTGGTTTGTCGTTGTTGTTGTTTTGTCAGTCTTGGAGCTTGAACTCAGGGCCCCTGCGTGCTGTCCCCGAGCTTTTTCACTCCAGGCTAGCACTCTACCATTTTGCGCCCCAGCACCACTTCCCGTTTTCTGATGGTTCATTGGAGCTTAGAGTCTTGCAGTCTTTCCTGCCCAGGCTGGCTGTGAACCTCAATCCTCAGAACTCAGCCTCCTAAGTAGCAAGGATGACAGGTGTGAGCCACCAGCTCTGAAGATTTGACTCTAAAGGCTCCATTGTGGGGGCCCAGCAATTTCCAACCATTGTCTGGTGCCAAATCTTCCAGCACTTTCCATTTTTAAAGACCCCAGCAGCTGGAAGCTGTCAGTGGCCTCGGTGCAGAGCAGTTGAACAGTAGA